CCCTCAATGATCTTATCGAAGATGGACTAAACGAACTAAGGCCGTTGATAATCCACGTGTCGATTGTACTGGAGCCATCGATTCTCACTGTCCGGACCCACAGAATCAGTATTAGGTTTAGGCTCCTGAGCCTATGCACATGCTCAAACAAGACTTTTGATCACTTTTCGTGGGCCCAGATTAGAATGATGAAGGGCCAGAATTAATTCTCAAAAAAAAAAAAACACACCAAATGGGTAACACGTGAAATTTGTATGGGCCATCTGTACCCAATTAAAGCGGAATTCTAAATTCCACGTGGCAATCATGACCTGGCGTCAAGTTTCTGACTTTGGGACACGCGGAAAATAGTTTTACTTTGACTTGCCGACAGGAGGATGATTTATGTACAGTAAAATTTTTGAAGGTGTAAAGAGTTGAATTTATCTTAATATAATAATAAATTGTTTTTATAAAAATTAAAATGTGTAAATATAGAAGAATTATAATTGGAAGTAAATGATTGTAATAAACCTAAAAGTATATAACAAATAAATAATCACAGCCTGTTTAGTGTTGTTTGGGCTTGTCATATGATCATTTCGCGTAGAAAACACTGTCATAATCACAGCCTCGTCACGGAGAGACACAAAGAGAGATCAGAGCATGTTCTGCTTGTATTGTTGTGATTCTTTTGTGACAAAAACTCTTCTATCTGTTCTCCTTAAATCTACACTCTCTTTCTTTCCTTTTAATTTTTTCTCTCCATAAAAGCTATGTCTCTCCGACTCTCCAGCTTAAGCTTCTGTTGAGCTCGAGCACAAGCTTGAGCTAGGATTTTCTGTGTTGAGCTTGAGCTCGACACATCTCTAGCTCAACACTGTAGAAGCTAAGCCGAGTTCAAACAGTCGAAGCTTAACTTAGTTTGGCTCGTTTATAACCCTAATTTGTTTGTTTTTTTATTGGAGAGTTTGATGTAATTTAGACTGTTGACAAACAATTCCCATTAACATTGGTATAAACAATTCGCTCGGAATTAGATCCGTGATTAGACACTTACCCTTTAACCTAAAACTATAGTTGTTAGTAGATTTGTAACCTTATTTTTCAACTTGTCGGTATTGTACGGACATGATATATATATATAGTATAAGATGTATCTAGCCCACTACAATATGAAGTAATTGACTATTAAATGGGGCAAGTGGGTATGTTTTTAATGTGAATAAAGCTAATTAGTGTGAATATATGTTGAAAACACATTTGTTAGGTGTTAGCATGTTGAGAGTCAAGAGCTATATAATATTTTCAAAGGAAGACCTCCATTGCCTTCGGCCTACTTGAGAATTTTGTGTGCTTCCCAATTTCTTTTCTACATGGCCTTCCGTTCCGGGTCACATTTCTCACTGCTCTTGAAAAGTATGTAATGTGACAATGACAAATGTGTTTTTCGACAACGTTTTCAAATGATTTAAATGAGTTGTTATTTTTACTTTTATTCAATACCCTAATCATGCCCACATTTTCACTTGTTTATATTTTATTCCAAGTGTTTTCTATTAATATCTACATTGCTTTCAAATAATTTAAATTTTACTTCTGTTATGCCAAAATCAGTCACTAATTAAAATCAAACAACAATTTAAATTAGAAGGTGTGAGTTGTCATTAACTTAATCCAAATATCTACACCCAGTGGCGGACTCAAGAGTTTTTGCCCGGGGGAGCCTCTGCAGCTCCGCCCTTTTTGTCAAACAACTAGTAAAAACTTTAAAAAACCACTAAACCTTAAGCAAAGAAAATAATGCAATATCAAGAATCTAAAAGAAAGAAAAAATGCAATAACACAATACTTTTCTACTTGAATAAATTTATGAAAAGAACATTTTTTAGTAAATATGTTAAGTAAACCTTGAGCAAAACCTTCTTTTAATTTTTTAATTTTATTTTTAGCTTCCAAAGATTATATTATAAATTTCCATGACTTTGATTAGATCTAGACTAAGCTAAAGTCAATTAAAACTTAAATCAAGTCTATGTTGTATTGACTTTTAATATGAATTAATAAAAAAAAAGGGGGAATTTTATTAGTATAAACGTAAATAGTAACTTAAATTTCTTTAATAATTTTGAGCAGTAACTTTTAAAATGTAGGAAAGTGGTGGGTGAAAGGTGAAGAATAACGTCATTTAAAATATAGTTAAGGTTTTACTTTGGGAAAGCAGAAATATACTTAGACACAAAACACAAAATAAACTCAAAAGATTCATGTCTTTTCAGTGGCGGATCCAGGAATTTCACTCGATGGGGGCAAAAAATAAACAAAAAAAATTTATGGGGGCAAAATGTCAAAGTCTTATAGGGGGTAAAATGCAACTAAATATAAATATTTATACAATCTGAAGTTTTTTAAAGTTTGAGTGGGGGCCGTGGTCCCCACTCGTCATTAAGTAAATCCGCCACTGTGTCTTTTTCCCTCAAATTATAATAAAAAACCTCCAAAAAAACATGATTCAACCCTAAAATAAATTAAATTAAAATGAACAATACACATACTAAAAATGATAAAACAGAAAACGAAGCTAATTGTGACACCTTGAGTAGTAAAAGCTTCAACAATTTCAGTTTTCAAAAGTTTTAAGAGCAAATAGCATGAGAAAGAGGAAGTGAGACTGAGAGAGTAAATAATCTTGCAGATAAAATCATAAAAAACAGGTGGAGCCGTAGAGAAGAAGAGTGGATAGAGTTTTAAAATTTAATATGATGTGGGCTTGGAATATATATATATATATATATATTAATAACAAGTTTCTTGTGGGTCTAGATATGTGTATAATAGTTCTCATTTTTTAAAAATCTGATAGTAGTATGGGTATATATATTAATAACAATTTTTTGTGGGCCTCTATATTAGTATTTTTTTTTTTTTTTTTAAATATGAGGGTGGCCTACTCTCAAAAGGGCTGGATCTGCCCCTGTCTACACCTGTCCTAACTCTATTAAATTCTTGGATCAGGATTAAAAAGAACTCCCCACGTAAGTAGACAACTTGCCGCTGGTTGCGCGCGGTTGCTTGTGGGAAAACTGCCTACGGTATGCGCAAGCCACGCTTGTTGCCCGCGGGAGCTTGGCTTGCTTGTGGGACAATTGTCCACGACATGGGTAGGCCACGCTTGTTGCGCATGGTTGCTTGGATGCTTTCAGAAAAACTGAGTAATAATTACGTTGGACGCCATTCGAGCTTAAACCATTATTTTTCTCTGTAAACAAAACATTACTCCATCTTTGTACGTCTCATAGACGATATCAGAAAAACAATCAAAATAATAAAATAACAATGGATGTAAGATTTGCTTATAGCATCCGAACCACTCTAAAAATCTCTCTTGTTAGTCATTTATTTATGTTTTCTCAAACACATATTATCACAACACCATAAGCATTTCCATAATCACCTTATGTGTAAATTCATAACAGTTTGCATATGCGTATTTCGTTGGTGTCAAAATCACGCATCAACAACTTCAAAAATAGAGTTAAAGGGTTTCTTAATCCCAATTTCGGTTAGTCATATATAAACTATCGGTACAAACTGACGAGACAATATTTCATTTTTGACATGTAATCTCTTTTAATTTATCTTTAATTTAAAGTTATACAATTATCTTAAATTACATCGGTTTGTATGAGAAAGTCTATATAAGAAGTTTGTACACATAAAGTACTACACTGTAATTCATATTTAATATTACCCGGTCAATGATTATTTAATTTTAAACAAAAAAGCAAATAAATTGGTTTTTTTTTTTTAGTTTTGATAAAAACATATTAGGCAAATATGTAAACATAATTGGAAAAATAAGGTATGAAATTGAGTAGTAGGAGCGTGGGGGTTTCGGGTGAAGCTATGACTTTTGTAAAATACACAGTAAAAATTGGACCAACATGATACCTCAAATTTGGTTGACTTTCTGCACCGAAAACACAAGATTTTGTCATGTCCCGCTTGGGATTTCTCGTAAAAAGATGGACAAAATACAAACATATTGTCGCTTCATGTCTTCTCTCAAAATCCCATAAAGTTACTCTGAAATGGGGTTTGAGTCATCACCTCATGGCTCATGCAACCCAATGGCAAGTCAAAGAAAGTGCTGCAAATTAAAGGCTAATTATGTATTCAAACTTTTAGCTTCTCTTTCGGGTTTTGCCTCCTTAGAAAATAGAAAAAGCTAAAGAGTAAAAAAATCAATAACTTTATTGACATTCTTTTCATTATTGCCTTGTAATTTGGCATCTTCTTCGTTAAATAACTAACGAGTGGTTGATATATTTGTTTATATATACAATCTTTGTGGGGTTGGTTTTTGATCGATAAAGTGTGACATTAACAAATGGATTAGTTGTCAAATTTTGAATGTAAATGTAAATGAATTTTCAAGTTCATTGTTCATATTAGGTTTGACATGGTCAGAGTTTTAAACGCAATATTTTCTTCTCACATTTTTGACAACATTTCTATTAAACAGAAGCCAATTTCGAAACCGCTTCTCAGAAATGGGCCTTGTATGATTATGACCCATCTGCAATGTGAAATGTACTTGTTAAAAATTTTGACTTAGGCCCAGTTGATTTGATGTGAAAACAAAAGATCAAAAGAATCCAGCTTGCTTTCATGATCTTTCCAGCTCCTAGTTGTATAGTAAGCTTAAAAAGCATTAACAAGATTCGACTTTTGCCAGAGCACGAGATAGGCCTACATTGCCAACTGGGTTATAATCGGTTTGGCCAGACATTTTCTGTTAAAGATTTAAAGCAAATCTGCGGAGGACCCATATCTTATAAAAATTTCATTATAATTGGCTGGGCCTACACATATTCTTGATGGTTTGCAATTTGAATTATTAACTAAGTATTCAAATTACCATCCGCTTGTTCCAGTTGTTTTGCATTTGACAAGAGTATGAGATAAAGTTACAGTTTATATGTAAAATTCTTATCTTTTACTCCGGGAGAAGGAGAAGATGACAAGACATTTTATTGTACTGAAAATTCAAAGCTTCATGTCACGGGAAAAAAAAAAAAATATTAGATTATGAAATCACCAAGCACTCACAAGGAGATGGAACTCGAGAATCAGTGAATACATTAAGATAGCAAGCATCTGGAGACGTCTGTAGCGAAAGTACGCAAACAATAGAGAATAACATGATGGAATAGAAATAGATGGTAGGCATGGACATACAGATAACAGATATAAAAACTTGGGATATACACAGGGAATATCAACACAAAAGAGCAATACATCCGCAACCAGCAAACAATTTGTATGACTATCTGCATCTCAACACCTATTCGAACAAGACTATGAATGTCCCCAACACATTTTCAAGAACTAAAATAGTTAAATACCGAGTATAATCATGCTGGCGCTCTCTGGAAAATGCACTAAGTATCGTGTTAAAACACAAGCCCAGCTACTTAAAAGCAAATGACAGAATGGCCTCTTATCATTTGACAAACTGTCCAAGAAATATTTTCACCTCAACCCCTGGCTAACAACACATCCAAGTGGTTCAATTGACCATCAGAGGATGAAGAATCCTCCAGCTGATAAACTTTTCTCACATTTCTGTTGCTGTATACTTTATCCTCTTGCTTCTGTGGATGCTCTTTATAAGCTACTTGATGCAGATGCAGAAATGCAATCATGCTAACTGCAACCATAGCAGCATTGCCTAGTACTCCACCCATATGACCCAATTTAAGGGAATTCTTCGCAAAATTGAAACTTGATATGAGAAATTGGATAATCATATTAGACTGCTTCCCCTTAGGTGTCACTAAGTTACCAGATGGACTTACTGGGGAACTGTAAAGGTTTTCAGGTGAAATAAAGTGAGCAGCATCATGTACATCTCCCACAAAAGCTAAAGCTTCTTCAATGACTTTGTGCTTCTTACCATGGTGTTCAGCCAACCTCATTGCGAGAACAATCCGGCTTTGTTCTAGTCGTGCAATTGCAGTATCTCTCTCTGCCCGTTGCTGTACTTGTATAGTCTGTAAAACACAGCAAATGAGTGTAAATAGCTCCATCTGTAATCTGTCAATGCCAAGAAAGTAATCTTGCATACTATCATTATAGCTTAAGAATATTGAAATTTAAATCACAAAGTTCCACACAAAAAATCAACATTAAGGACAAAGGAAAGTACTTGAGAGCATTACTTTCCCATCAAATTGCAAAGAAACCCTGTCCCAACTTCCTTTCTATACATAACAAACTATTAATTTTTTTTCTCTAATGAAAATAACGAGTGACAATTTTAAATGTAAATGAACAAAAGGTGTCCACATAAAAGCAAGGCATACAATAATATAAAATGGTTGAAGTTATCTTTTCAGGAAATGAGATCCCCTCCAAAGACCATAAGAAAATCAGCCAAAATTCCATCACCTTGCAATCAATGCTACAACCAATAAATTACATTCAACACCTACTATATCTCACTGGCATTTGTCCAAACTCTGTATTGTCCAAGCAAACATAGACGCAGCTGGTCCAAACCACGCTAGCCTATTACTGTTTCACACGTTCACAAAGAACAGCTTCAATCCACTCCGACTACAAGGCCTAGGGTACATCGATCCTTTTTTCCATCGAGCTCTTTGAATAGCCATCACCTCATTTGAGCCAGAAAATCACATCATCTGCAACAACTTCTAAATACATTCATGCGACCTTAACTAATCCTGTGATTGGCCTCACAGCCAAAACTGGAATATATAGCTAACAGTCAACATGCTGATCAAAAAATAATCTAGACAAGACAAATTGCCCTATTACATTGAAACACCTTGTTGTATTAATGTATTGGGTATGACCGAACCAAGACAACTGCCACTCTCTGGCATCTTAAGCCATTACCAAACTATTATCCACTATCAAAGACAATGATTCAAAGACACACCAAATGGGGTCTGTTACTTGAACTCTATGTCTTACCTGATGAAATACTTAACTCTGTAGTTTTAGTACAAATCTCAGTATACCAACTCTTACTTTATCCTCATTCTTAATAAAACTCTCATACATAAATTTCGAATAAACATTCATTTTCGACCGTAATCTAACGTCATAATTGAACCAAAAGTCAGTTATATACGCCATTCATGGGATCTGTTATACTCACGACTTGAACTCTATCTTACCTGAAAAGCTTCAGCCAATAGTTTTTGAACTAATCTCAGTATATAAACTCTTCCATTATCCTCCTTCTTAAACTAAACCCTCATACATAAATTTCCACAGGAATTCATTTTTCCTCAAATCTTACGTCATAATTGGACCAGTTATATGCTCTATTCATGTTTGACTTCTCCCAATTTTCTAGGAAACCAAACGAAACTAACCAAAATAGATATAGAACGAAATTTCACAAAAGCCAATTAAAAACCTTACGTGAAGAAACTCTAGCTGGTCTTCGAGGTTCTCAAGAGCAGTTCTAATCGCATTCAAACTCTTAGCCTCTTTAATCGCGGAGTCATTATCATCGACCCGAAACCCCTTCACGAACACGAATCCGGCCCGGTTTTCATCAGCGACATCGCTGTAGAGTTTCTTCTTCTCCGATTTCTTTAGGGATTTGATGGAATTAAGAAAATGCGTTCGCGAAATCGAGTGAATGGCGTCACTCAGTTTGTCGTGTAGGTCCCAGATTTTCTCCAGAACAGCTTCAAATTCATCAATCTCCATTTCCCAAATCATGTGGGAAAGAAAGTGTGGGAAAATTTGGTGGGAAAATGTGTAATTTTCTAGGGTCTGCTTTAAGGCTGTGTTTGGGAGCTTCCAGACAGGACTTTAATTTTATTATGTATTTTAAAATTTTGTTTTAACGGTCTCAGCTGAGCTTGGGCCCTCAATTTATTTACAGTATAATTATTGCAGATAATTCGGATCCTCATACGAATATCACGGCGTTCTTACCGCGTCATTGTCATATTTGTCCGGGAAGAGGAAAAATAAATTGTGTCCCTAAAGTTTGGGTTAATTACTCTTGAGTCTTGTAAAATGTTTTATTAACATTTTAGTTACTGTCATAGACTCATAGTGTCATGTCAGCAAAGACGAAAAGTAGACAACTTTAATTAAATCTTCTCGTATTTATATAATCTAATTTGAGAAAAAAATCAAGAGAATTTGTATAATTTATTGTAATGATGTGACGTGGCATGTTGAAAATCTGTCAGTGTGTGATATTTTAATTGCCACAGTGGCATTCTTTTTGGCCCACACACGCAGGCGCAATTGCGGTCGTGTGAAGTCCAAGTCGGTGCCGCTCGTGTGTGAAATCGAGTCTTGTTTCATTACTATTTTATTTTTTTGATTTTGTATTTATTTAGAATTAGATGCCCTGCAGCTTGCCGTAAAGTAAAAGTCTAAAAAGCCAAAAAAAAAGGAGGCTCAATGAAAAGACCACATAATTAAGTGAGTTTTGGGAGATGAATAATTGTATAATCTAAAGCTACCAATAAAGGCTACGAGGAGATTATTTTATTTAATTACATCATAACGATGGAAAATGGCGCTGGGTATTCACTTAAAATTAATTTCCAACTTTGATTAATTGCTGTACCATCCATATAGAAGGCAAAACATATAAGGAAAGAGGAAAAATTTACAACTTTGCTGTTAAAGTTTTGACATTTATTTAGAGAATTAATTTGGTATGCCTACAAAAATGTAAAATATTTCAGAAAATATCTAAAAAAAAAAAAAAATCAATAAAGCATACTTACAGAAAATCAATCTTGAATAAAATGATTACTTTCTGATTATAATGAAAAAAAATGTAGAGTTACCACGGAATCAATGAACATAAAATGGAAAATGAAAAAAATATTTTAAGTGAATTAATTTATAATTTGTTGAAACAATAAAACAATAAAAACATTTCTATGCTTTCAACATTTGTATTTTTTCCATAAACATTTCTGTCTCTTGTCATGCCCACCTTTTTATCAATATTGATAAATTTCAAACAATATTGATATTTCAAACTCATATATATATATATATATAATATATATATAATCGGGGTTGCAAGGTAGCTTATGGCAAATCAAGTAATCTTCGGGACCTTGAAACTATGATTAAGTAAGAGATCAAGTGACTACCTTATTAACAACTGAAGAATGACTTAAATCAAGATTTTTGAATAATACACTTAAGAGTCCCTATTAAATATTCGACCACCTAGAGATAATAATGTGAATCTATGCAAATTAAATCTATTCTTCACCAGCGCATACCTAAAATTTGAATTATATAAATTTTTTCAATTAGATGTCTAATTATTGTTGACTTAGGTAGAAATAACGGTAAACCTAAGTCTAATAATTATACAAAGTTTTGAAAAATAAATAAAATAAAATAAAATCTTTATGGGAGAATTTATGTCATCCACAGGTTCTTGCTTCACACTATTCTCAAAGACTTAAAATATTAAAGTTGGAAATGCACCGGCCTTCAACTTGTTGAGCACAGCAGAAAGCAAAATAGATATTTCCATAATTATGTCTTAAACAATATTTTTCATTATGGCATCTTATATCCAAAACAGAAAAACTATCAATTACATGGCTTAATCCAATTTGACAACTTGCTTTATTTAATTGAAATTTCTTTTTAATTTATAAAAATAAATACTGTCTAATATATTTTATTTGTTTTTTTGGTGATGAGGATGTCCGGATTAACTTGTGTATACCTCAATGATCTTGGAGGCCCAAATTAAAATAGATAAACCCTCTAACTATTATCTTGTTATAGTCGAAGAAAATAAACTAAAACTTTTTAATAATACATCAAGAGTTCCTATTACTTTAACCGGCCACCTAAGGTGTTTTATCTTAATATTAATAAAGTAAAGTTTGAAGGATAGAAATATTGATGTCATGAGACATGAGATATGATAATTCTCTTTCACCTTTTCACTTTCTCTTTTTTTAATAGATATTTTTGAAGAACAAATAGGAATTAATTTGGGTTGGTAATTTATTTATTTTGAGCATGGATTCAGATATTAAGAATTAATTCACAGCCTATATAGAGTAACTATATATACTATATATATATATATATATATATGAATCAATTCACAATCTTATTTAATTATTTTCTCACCAAATTTGTGCCAGCATTGAAGTTTGAACTGTCTCTTTCTCAAATCCATAAAATCTGAGAATAAAAGTAGAAATTAATTTGGTTTCTGATTAAAAGCACTTTTTTTTTTTTTTTTTTTTTTTTTTTTAATTCTTCAAGTCAAAAAGGATCTCAAATCTTTTCAGCGGCTACTGCACCTCTCATACGTGAAGAAGAATACATGAAGACTCAAAACACGCACGCTATAAAGAAGTAACAGAAGCAATTTTTTAAAAGCAGTTTTTTAGGTACGTCTAGCTAGCGTGTCGACACGAAGTGCTTTTTTTCTGAGCTGTTGCTATTTATTAGATTGAGGGGTCACTTTTTTTTTTTTGGTGGTTGCCGCTGCCGTTGTACAATATTAAGATCTCTATATGGTTTGTGCTGACTTTAAGTATGTCAAGTTATTTAAATTATAGATTGCTTTTATCATCAACATTTTTAATAAAAGTGTTTATATTTGATGATCATCCTAATTCCTAGCCTTTTTTTCTAACTAAACATTTATTCTCTTAGTTGAATTCATTAAATTTGACGTAGAATATTTAAAAAGCGATATATATATATATATATATTATATATATATATATCTTATATATATAATCTCTGCGTCTTAACGCTGTCCGCGTGTTTGGTTTCCGTACCACTAGCAACAGTCGCCATTAAAATGACCAGAATATGATTGCTGCCAAACCAAGTGGGTTTTTCCTTTTTGAATATTTATTTTTATTCATCAACTTTTATAGAAGTGTTTAATAAAGTTCACGTGCGCTATTCAATACATTCTCTTGTTTCTTCAGAAAATTTCCATGTCATGTAAGCAGTTGTGTACGTTATACTTATGAAGCGGCAAACTTTTGAGGAGACTTAAGAGGAAGCGCTTTTGTTACTTTTCAGGGTTGTCATCTATGATATATTCTTATTCCCGTCGCAAGAAAGGTTGCACGTGTTCTGTGTCAGGTAGTCCATCTCAGCGCCTACACCTGATATACTTGAACCCATGGTCGTTTTTGTGCAAATTCCTAAAGTTGGAGTCGCTGCATAGAGAATATGTGAGAAATTTGAGAACTCCGAGATGGGGGCACGGAATTAATAAAGAAAGGTCAAGGAGCTAGTAAAGATGTGTTAACCTTTCGCACTCGGTACAAACGACAGGAAAGACAGAAGAACATATTCAAGAGTTTTGGTTCATGCAGAACAGAAGCAGCCACTCGAACAAACAAACAACGGAAATGAAGTAATAGCACCTGTATATGGTAAAATCTAAATAAATATCCCAGTATATTTATTAAGATCTTCTGCTGCAGAACTGGTACTATATTAATGTGTGGATGACCTGAGTGAAAAGAGGCACACACACTTCCCCAGTGAGCTTATCAAATTCGGCTACTTATCACGAAGATTTGAATTATAAAAAGGAGGAAGGGAGGTAGGGCAGGCTTTCGAAATACAAAATTGCTGATATTATGTCGAACGTATTCAAGGTAGGTAATTGTGTGTTATTAAAAGGGCAGTTCAAATTATAGAAAGAACATTGATTTATTGTTGTAAAAATTGTGGCAATAATAGATAGGTGAGATTTAAATGGAGCATGCGGGGGGAGATTGAGAAGAGTACTTCCATAATGTTGTAATTCAAGTTAATATTTTTGTATTTTGCTTTTAAGTTGTTGACGTTCCGGTCCCACCCACTTTAACTTCGCCATCACCCGATACTCCTTCGTCTTATATGCTCTCTCTGTTATGTATATTTCCCTGCACTATGCTCCACCCTGTGACCATGTTATATTAAATATATAAATATTTATTGGATCGATAATAAATTTTATTATTATTTTTGTGACTGAAGTATTCGGATCAATTTACGGTATTTTGATTAATCTCAGGTAAATCTTTCAGTAGTATCTCATTAACAATCGAGAAGATCGAACTAAAACTGAATAATACACTTAAGGATCTCTATCGTTTCACCGACTGTCTAGAGATAGTTAAGGATGGATAAACATCATATTATTGTCGTATAGACTATATCCAAATAAAGACTACTAGTCTATTGAGATCATTTATCGTCAATCATGGCCTATTAGGACTGTGATCATAATACTTAAAAGAATTCTCAGGCAGAAATTGAAATTAGCCGTTAACTGAGAAATTTGATATAGACTTGAAATCAATTCTTAAAGTAGACTTAAAACATTCATGTCGGTTCTTGAGCGGAACTCAAGTTGTGGATTACAACGAAGTTAATTGACCTAAGTTGTCCCAATGCATAATCAAACCGCCAATTACCTTAATTAATGGTAATAATCATGCGTTTTAGCTCAACACCACAATGATCTTATCGAAGATTGACTAAACGAAAAAGGCGTTGATAATCCACGGTGTCGATTGTACTGGAGCCATCGATTCTCACTGTCCGGACCCACAAAATCAGTATAGGTTTCGGCTTCTGAGCCCATGCACATGCTCAAACAAGACTTTTGATCATTTCGTGGCCCAGATAGAATGGATGAAGGGCCAGAATTAATTCTCAAAAAAAAAAAAAACACACCAAATGGGTAACACGTGAAATTTGTATGGGCCATCTGTACCCAATTAAAGCGGAATTCTAAATTACGTGGCATCATGACGGCGTCAAGTTTCTGGACTTTTGGGACACGCGGAAAATAGTTTTACTTTGACTTGCCGAAGGAGGGTGATTTATGTACAGTAAATTTTTTGAAGGTATAAAGAGTTGAATATTCTGAATAAATAATAAATTGTGTTTATAAAAATTAAAATGTGTAAATATAGAAGAATTATATTGGAAGTAAATGATGTAATAAACTAAAGTATATAAAAATAAATAAAACGAAAGTTTAGTGTTATTGAGCTTATCATATGATCATTTCACGTAGAAAACATAAATTCATAATCACAATCTGTCACAGAGAGAGATCAGAGCGTGTTCTGTTGTGTTGTTGTGGTTCTTTAGTGACAAAAACTCTTCCATCCGTTCTCCTTAAATCTACACTCTTTTTTTTTATTTTTATTTTTTTTCTCTCCGTAAAAGCTATTTCTCTCGACTCCAGCTCGGCACAAGCTTGAGTCTGAGCTCGACACATCTCTAGCTGAACATATAGGAGCTGACGAGTTCGTTTAGTTAGTTGACTCGTTTATAACCCTAATTTGTTTGTTTTTATTGGAGAGTTTGATGTAATTTGGATATTGACAAACAATTCCCATTAACACTGGTATAAAACCTAACAATTTGCTCGGAATTAGATCGTGATTAGACACTTACCCTAACCATAAAATTAAGTTGTCAGTAGATTTGTAACCGTATTTTTTCAACTTGTCGGTATTGTAACGACATGATATATATATATAGTATAAGAGTATCTAGCCCACTACAATATGAAGTAATTGACTATAATGGGGCAAGTGGGTATGTTTTTAATTTGAATAAAGTGACACCCGTGGGCTAATGTACTGTGAATATATGTTGAAAACACCATTGTTAGGTGTGAGATATATAAGATTTTCAAAGGAAGACCTCCATTGCCTTGGCTACTTGAAAATTTTTTGTGCTTCCCAATTTCTTTTCTACATGGCCTTCGTTCCGGGTCACATTTCTCACTGCTCTTGAAAAGTATGTAAGTGACAATGACAAATGTGTTTTTGACAACGTTTTCAAATGATTTAAATGAGTTGTTATTTTTACTTTATTCAATACTCTAAGCATGCCCAATTTTCACTTGTTATAATTTTATTCCAAGTGTTTTCTATAATATCTACATGTAATTTATGTATGGTTCATTGCTCTCAAATAATTAAATTTTACTTCTGTTATGCCAAAATAGTCACTAATTAAAATCAAACAACAATTAAAGATTAAAGGTGTGAACCGTCAGTTACTTAATCAAAATATCTACACCCAGTGGCTGACTCATAAAACTTAAGAAATCACTAAACCTTAAACAAACAAAGAAAATATGCATATAAAGAATCTAAAAGAAAAAAATCTGCAGTACTTTTTACTTGAATAAATCATGAGAACAAAATTGGAGTAAAAAAATCACCAAACCTTAAACAAAGCTAAAATAGAAAACGAAGCTAATTGTTACAGCTTGAAGTAGAAAAGCTTCAACAATTCAGGTTTCAAAAAGTTTTAAGAGCAAATAGCTGAGAAAGAGGAAAAGAGAATGAGAGTATAAATAATCTTGCAGATAAAATCATAAAAAGCAATGAAGTAGAGAAGAAGAGTGGATAAGTTTTAAATTTAATATGATGTGGGTTGGAAATAATATATATTAATAACAAGTTTTGTGGGTTAGATATGTGTATAATAATTCTCATTTTTAAAAAATCTAGTAGTAGATTTGGTATATATATAATAAACAAATTTTGTGGGCCATATTAGTATTTTTTTTTTTTAAATATGAGGGTGGCCTACGTCAACAGGGCTTGTCACGCCCCTTCTTCACACCTGTCCCAACTCATTAAATTTTGGATCAGGATTAAGGAACTCCCCACGTAAGTAAACAACTTGCCGCTTGTTGTGGCGGTTGCTTCTGTGGGAAAAATACATCCGGTATGCGCAGCCACGCTTGTTGCCCACGGGAGCTTGGCTTGCTTGTGGGAAATGTCCACGACAAGGGTAGGCCCACGCTGTTGCGCGTGGTTGCTTGGATGCTTTGCGAAAAAACTGAGTAATATACTTGGACGCCATTCGAGCTTAAGCAATTATTTTCTCTGTAAATAAAAACATTACTCCATCTTTGTACGCCTCATAGACGATATCAAAAACAATCAAATAATAAAATAAAAATGGAGTAACATTGCTTATAGAACCGAACCACTCAAAAAATCTCTGTGTAGTCATTTATTTATGTCTCTCAAAACATATTATCACCACCAAAGATTTAATCACCTATATGTAAATTCATAGCCGTTTGCATTGCGTATTCGTTAGTGTTAAAATCACGCATCAACAACTTCAAAAATAGAGTTAAAGGGTTCTTAATCCCAATTTCGGGTAGTCATTAGAAACTATCGTAGAAACTGACAAGACAATATTTTTTTTTTGATGTAATCTCTTTTATTTATCTTTAATTAAAGTTATACAATTATCTTAAATACTTGGTTTGAATGAGAAAGTCTATATAAGAAGTTTGTACACACTAAAGTACTACACTGTAATTCATATTTAAATTAGCCGGCGATGATATTTAATTTAAACAAAAAAAAATAATTGGTTTTTTTTTTTTTAGTTTTGATAAAAAAACATTAGGCAAAATGTAACATAATTGGAAAATAAGTATACATTGAGTAGTAGAGGTGGGGGTTTCGGGGAAGCTATGACTTTTGTAAAAACAGAGTAAAAATTGGACCAAATATACCTCAAATTTGGTTGACCTTCTGCACCGAACACAAGATTTTGTCATGTCCCGCGTGGATTTCTGTAAAAAGATGGACAAATACAAACATATTGTCGCTTCATGTCTTCTCTCAAATCCATAAAGTTACTGGAATGGGGCTTGGCTCATGCAACCCAATGGCAGTCAAAGAAAGTGCTGCAAATTAAGGCTAATTATGTATCAAACTTTAGCTTCTCTTTTCGGGTTTTGCCTCCTAGAAAATAGAAAAGCTAAAGAGTAAAAAAATCATAACTTTATTGACATTTTTCAATTGCCTTGTAATTTGGCACTTCTTCGGTAAATAAACTAACGAGTGGTTGATATATTTGTTTATATATACAATCTTTGTGGGGTTGGTTTTGACGATAACGGTGGACATTAACAAATGGATTAGTTGTCAAATTTGAATGTAAATGTAAATGAATTTTCAAGTTCATTGTCTATATAGGTTTGACAGGGTCAGAGTTTTAAACGCAATATTTTCTTATCCTCACAAACATTTCTATTAAACAGAAGCCAATTCGAAACCGTTCTCAGAAATGGGCTGTATGATTATGACCATCTGCAATGTGAAATTACTTGTTGAAAATTTTGACTTAGGCCCAGTTGATTTGATGTGAAAACAAAAGATCAAAAGAATCACAGCTTGCTTCCTGATCTTTCCAGCTCTAGTGTATAATAAGCTTAAAAAGCATTAACAAGATTGACTTTTGCCAGACACGAGTAGGTACATTACCAACTGGGTATAATTGGTTGGCCAGGACATTTCTGTTAAAGATTAAAGCAAATCTGCGAGGACCCATCATTTATAAAAATTTCTTATAATTGGTGGGCTACACATTATGTTTGCATTGATTATTAACTAATATTAAATTACCACGCTGTTCCAGTTGTTTTGCATTTGACAAGAGTAGAGATAAAGTTACAGGATATGTAAAATTCTTATCTTTTACCCGGGAGAAGACAAGAGACAAGACAATTTTATTGTAATGAAATTCAAAGCTTCATGTCACGGAAAAAAAAAATAAAATTAGATTATGAATCACCAAGCACTACACAGGGTGGAACTCGAGAATCAGTGAATACATTAAGATAGCAAGCATCTAAAGGAAAGTACGCAAACAATAGGAAAACAGACGGTAGAAATAGATGGTAGCATGGACATACAGAACAGATATAAAAACTTGGGATATACACAGGGAATATCAACACAAAGAGAAATACATCCGCAACCAGCAAACCAATTTGTATGACTATCTGCATCTCAACACCTATTGAACAAGACTATGAATGTCCCAACACACTTTCAAGAACTATAGATAGTTAAATACCGAGGATAATCATGCTGGCGCTCTTGGAAAATGCAGTAAGTATCGTGTTAAAACACAAGCCCAGCTACTTAAAAGCAAATGACAGAATGGCCTCTTATCATTTGACAAAACTGTACAGAAATATTTTCACCTTAACCCTGGCTAACAACACATCCAAGTCGGGTTCAATTGACCATCAGAGGATGAAGAATCCTCCAGCTGATAAACTTTTCTCACATTTCTGTTGCTGTATACTGTTGTTCCATTTTAGAGGGGGTTAAAGGACTCATTTTCCCTGGTTTGATCAGGAAATCTAAGAAAGTGTGTTTATTTGGAAACTTCTTAATTCTTAGTTGTATACAGGAAAGTTCTGTACAAGCAGGGTTAAGCACTAGCCTTTTTTCGCTTGTTTCAGTCCTCTTTATAACTCTGTTTGTGGGTTTGTTTTTTTTTACAGTCACAGAGAGACTCAGAGGGCTCTCTTTTTCAGTCTGAAATCTTGCCGGGGTTTTAACCTTCTAAGATTTGTCACTGTTTTCTGTACTCTTTTTCTTTCCGTTTTGCCCTTTTGATGTCTTTTCTGTCAGATTATTTATCAGATAAGGTTTCAACTTCTCTTTGACGATTCGTGGCCTTCTTGCCTTTTCTTTTCTTTCTTCTGTTCTTTTTTCTTTAGATGCGAATAGTGAGAATCTGAGAGAAAATTTTCAGAACACGATGATGGACCAAAGTACTATGAGTTTTCTTTGTCCCATCAAATGCACTGAACACCGAAACGTTACCAGAAAGTACACCAAACCAGCCTCTTCAAAACCCAATAAAAAACTTTCCGATGATCGGAATCTCCCGGAAACCAACCCCGTTACAGTAGTCTCCAGAGTTGTACGGATATCTATGACCGACCACGATGCCACAGACTCTTCAAGTGATGAAGAAGGAGAGTTGTTTGGCCGCCAGCGGGTGAAACGCTATGTGAATGAGATCAACATCGAACCGAGTTGCAGTAAGCCCAGTAACGTTCCTGCCATTGCAACTAATCGGAAAAGAGCAGCTGATGTCGCTACTTGCCGGAGACCTCTAAAACAAATGTCTTCAACAAATAATGGAAAGAAGTTTCGCGGTGTACGGCAACGGCCTTGGGGAAAATGGGCGGCTGAGATTCGAGATCCTGCACGACGTGTACGTTTATGGTTGGGTACTTACGATACAGCTGAAGAAGCTGCAAGGGTTTATGATAATGCAGCCATCAAGCTTCGAGGTCCAGACGCTTTAACAAATTTCTCTACACCGCCAGTTCAAGAACCAGAAGAAGAAGAACGACAAGAACAAGAAGAAGAAAAGCCCGAAGTTAATGTTTCGTCTACAGTTTCGGGTTACGAATCGGGTGATGAGTCTCAAAGTCACAACCTTTCTTCTCCAACTTCTGTTCTCAATTTCAGAACTCATTCTTCTTCTGAAGAAACTGAACCAGAAAAAGAAAAACTCGTAAAACTGGTTATTGAAGAAGAAACAGCGATGGTAGAGTTTCAAGGTGAAACAACGACGAATTTGTGTAATGAATCAGCCGATTTCTTACCGCTTGATTTGCCTTTCCCGCTCGACGAGTTTTTCAGCAATATTCCAACTCCAGAACTGTCGTTTTTTGAAGACAACAGCGCCCCGATTTTTCAAGACTGTATGTTCAGTGACGATTCGAATGACATGTTTCTCCAAACATTGCCTCAAGATTTTGCTTCAGCTTCTCCGTCTTCTCCATGTCAAGTGGACGACTATTTCCAAGACATCGGCGATTTGTTCTTTTCAGACCCTCCTCTTGTGGGACTATGAATGAGAGTAAAACAATGAGTGAGTCAGTGACTGTGAGTGAGTGATTGTCACCGCGTTTTGCTTGCCGGTCTTCCGGCAGATTTTGTACCGGCGGTGCCTAAAGAACGACTAGTTTTGTTATAGTACTTAGTTTTTTTTTTTTAATTATTTATTTGTTTACTAAATATCTCCGTTAAATATAACGGAGTTTAGGCTCTTAAGAGTTGAGTGGAGTTTTGCTATAACATGTGTCATCATAATAACAATAATTAGGCTTGTTAAAATTGTAACATTTCGGTGAGAATTAATGTGAAATATTAGTATTTTTAAATAATTACTTTTTATGGAACAAAATATTAGCACCTTAATAAAAAGGAATGGCAAGATTTGACTTTTAAGGAGAGGAAAGGAAAGCTTCTCCAATAAAGGAAAACAAAAGAGAATATGTCTTTTATTTCCTTTTTCTTTTTCTTTTTTTACGCTTTTAATTATATAAAAAAATATTTTAAAAATATATATTTTGATAAGAGCGTGTTAGCACGCACTTTAAGAGGATGTGTGATAAGCATATCTCGGTAGTGGAAACAAGAACAGAAAAAACCCAGAGACGTACAAAACCGAATTATAAATGGCGGCGAATTCTAGGTTGCCCACCACCACCACGTTACTTCTAGCTGTAAAAAAAGTAAAATTTAATATTTCTCCCTAAAATTAAATGCAATAAATAAATATTCAACTTGAAACTTTCAAAGGGTTAAAAATTATTAACCATGCTCAAAATTACCAAACACCCTTAATGTCCGTAATCCCAATTATAATCATTTAGCGGTAATTATATTATATTTATTAAATATGATGTAAAAGATTTTCATTTTTATGAGTTAATAAGAGTATCAATGCAATTCATAACATTAACGTGTGGGTAACATAAAAAGGGTTAAAGCAAGTGAATAGAATTTAATCATGATTAATTAATTAATCCGCCTGATTAAGGGAACAAACCGTAATTAATAGAGTGAATTGAAGAAGCTTTTAAGTAGTCAAAGGTTGCGAGGTCTTACTAATCAAATCAATTTGACTGAACAAATATTAACATGGCCGGGTATCTTGGGCCTCACGTGACTGGCATCACACTCTTCGAGATGAATCACACGCTGACTCAGCACCATATGATTTCTCCTATTGCGCCAAACTCTTCCATGGGCCCACCTTTGCTACGTGTCAAATTCCTGTGGCTCCGTTATGATGCGGCGTTTCGTTTCACTTTTGGTCGTCACCGGAATCTCCGTTTTGCTACCGACCGGCTCCAACACTTACCATTAATTAGCAATGATTAAATAAACTGATTTTTTTTTTTTTAATTATTTTTTTTTTAAAAATTAAAAAAAGAAATATTGAAATTTATTGTAATATTAATTAAAATGGGTTTGTATTCCGAGTTTTTCAATTTCGGCTGTTGGGATCCTATAAAACAGCGATTTCAGTGTTTTGGTCTTCTCCGCAACTAAAAACTCTGCTTCTTCTCCCACTCACTACACTCTCTTACCAATAAGCTCTCTCTCTCTGAAATCTTGTTCCGTACACTTGTTGTGACTTTCTTCATCTTCTTCTATCTCTCATTCTTTTGTTCCATTTTAGAGGGGGTTAAAGGACTCATTTTCCCTGGTTTGATCAGGAAATCTATGAAAGTGTGTTTATTTGGAAACTTCTTAATTCTTAGTTGTATACAGGAAAGTTCTGTATAAGCAGGGTTAAGCACTTGCCTTTTTTCGCTTGTTTCAGTCCTCTTTATAACTCTGTTTGTGGGTTTGTTTTTTTTTACAGTCACAGAGAGACTCAGAGGGCTCTCTTTTTCAGTCTGAAATCTTGCCGGGGTTTTAACCTTCTAAGATTTGTCACTGTTTTCTGTACTCTTTTTCTTTCCGTTTTGCCCTTTTGATGTCTTTTCTGTCAGATTATTTATCAGATAAGGTTTCAACTTCTCTTTGACGATTCGTGGCCTTCTTGCCTTTTCTTTTCTTTCTTCTGTTCTTTTTTCTTTAGATGCGAATAGTGAGAATCTGAGAGAAAATTTTCAGAACACGATGATGGACCAAAGTACTATGAGTTTTCTTTGTCCCATCAAATGCACTGAACACCGAAACGTTACCAAAAAGTACACCAAACCAGCCTCTTCAAAACCCAATAAAAAACTTTCCGATGATCGGAATCTCCCGGAAACCAACCCCGTTACAGTAGTCCCCAGAGTTGTACGGATATCTATGACCGACCACGATGCCACAGACTCTTCAAGTGATGAAGAAGGAGAGTTGTTTGGCCGCCAGCGGGTGAAACGCTATGTGAATGAGATCAACATCGAACCGAGTTGCAGTAAGCCCAGTAACGTTCCTGCCATTGCAACTAATCGGAAAAGAGCAGCTGATGTCGCTACTTGCCGGAGACCTCTAAAACAAATGTCTTCAACAAATAATGGAAAGAAGTTTCGCGGTGTACGGCAACGGCCTTGGGGAAAATGGGCGGCTGAGATTCGAGATCCTGCACGACGTGTACGTTTATGGTTGGGTACTTACGATACAGCTGAAGAAGCTGCAAGGGTTTATGATAATGCAGCCATCAAGCTTCGAGGTCCAGACGCTTTAACAAATTTCTCTACACCGCCAGTTCAAGAACCAGAAGAAGAAGAACGACAAGAACAAGAAGAAGAAAAGCCCGAAGTTAATGTTTCGTCTACAGTTTCGGGTTACGAATCGGGTGATGAGTCTCAAAGTCACAACCTTTCTTCTCCAACTTCTGTTCTCAATTTCAGAACTCATTCTTCTTCTGAAGAAACTGAACCAGAAAAAGAAAAACTCGTAACTGGTTATTGAAGAAGAACAGCGATGGTAGAGTTTCAAGGTGAAACAACGACGAATTTGTGTAATGAATCAGCCGATTTCTTACCGCTTGATTTGCCTTTCCCGCTCGACGAGTTTTTCAGCAATTTCAACTCCAGAACTGTCGTTTTTTGAAGACAACAGCGCCCCGATTTTTCAAGACTGTATGTTCAGTGACGATTCGAATGACATGTTTCTCAAACATTGCCTCAAGATTTTGCTTCAGCTTCTCCGTCTTCTCCATGTCAAGTGGACGACTATTTCCAAGACATCGGCGATTTTGTTCTTTTCAGACCCTCCTCTGTGGGACTATGAATGAGAGTAAAATAATGAGTGAGTCAGTGACTGTGAGTGAGTGAGTGTCACCGCGTTTTGCTTGCCGGTCTTCCGGCGGATTTTGTACCGGCTGGACTAAAGAACGACTAGTTTTGTTATAGTACTAGTTTTTTTTTTTTTTTAATTATTATTTGTTTACTAAATATCTCCGTTAAATATAACGGAGTTTAGGCTCTTAAGAGTTGAGTGGAGTTTTGCTATAACATGTGTCATCATAATAACAATAATTAGGCTTGTTAAAATTGTAACATTTCGGTGAGAATTATGTGAAATAGTATTTTTTAAATTTTATTAAATCTTCTCGTATTTTTAATTATAATTCTAATTTGAGAAATATCAAGAGAATTTGTTATTAATTTATTGTAAATGATGTGACGTGGCATGTTGAAAATCTGTCACGTGTGTGATATTTTAATTGCCACAGTGGCATTCTTTTGGCCCACACGAGCAGGCGCAAATTGCGGTCGTGTGAAGTCCAAGTCGGTGCCGCTCGTGTGTGAAATCGAGTCTTTGTTTCATTACTATTTTATTTTTTTGATTTTGTATTTATTTAGAATTTTAGATGCCCTGCGCTGCCGAAGTAAAGTTCTAAAAAGCAAAAAAAAATGGAGGCTCAAATGAAAAGACCACCATAATTATGTGAGTTTAGGGAGATGAATAATTGTATAATCTAAAGCTACCAATAAAGGCTACGAGAGATATATTTTTATTTAATTTTACATCATAAAGATGGAAATTGTCGCTTGGGTATTCACTTAAAATTAATTTCCAACTTTATTAATTGCTGTACCATTCCATATAGAATGGCAAAACATATAAGGAAAGAGGAAAAATTTACAACTTTGAGTTAAAGCTTTTGACATTTATTTAGAGAATTAATTTGGTATGCCCTACAAAAATGTAAAAATATTTCAAAGAAAATATCTAAAAAAAAAAAAATCAATAAAGCATACTTTACAGAAAATCAATCTTGAATAAAGATTACTTTGATTATAATGAAAAAAAAGTTAGAGTTACCACGGAATCATGAACATAAAATGGAAAATGAAAAAATATTTTAAGTGATTAATTTATAATTTGTTGAAACAATAAAACATAAAAACATTTCCTATGCTTTCAACATTTGTATTTTTTTCCATAAAATTTCTGTCTCTTGTCATCCACCTTTTACAATTTGATAAATTTCAAATCAATTGATAATTTCAAACACTCATATATATATAATATATATATATATATATATAATCGGGGTTCAGGGCTGCTTATGTGCAAATCAAGTAATCTCGCGGACCTTGAAACTACTGATTAAGTAAGAGATCCATGACTACCCTTATTAACAACTGAAGATGACTTAAATTCAATATTTTAGAATAATACACTTAAGAGTCCCTATTAAATTATTCGACCACCTAGAGAATAAATAATGTGAATCTATGCAAATTAATCTATTCTTCACACGCATACCTAAAATTGAATTATATAAATTTTTTCAATTAGATGTCTAATTATTGTTGACTTAGGTAGAATAAACGGTAAACCTAAGTCTAATAATTATAACAAAGTTTTGAAAATAAATAAATAAATAAAATCTCTTATGGGAAATTTATGTCATCCACAGGTTCTTGCTTCACTATACTCAAACTTAAATATTAAAGTTGGAAATAGCACCGGCCTTCAACTTGTTGGCACAGCAGAAAGCAAAATAGATATTTCCATAATTATGTCTTAAACAATATATTTCATTAATTGGCATCTTTATTATCCAACAGAAACTACCCTCATAATTAACATGGCTTAATCCAATTTGACAACTTGCTTTATTTAATTGAATTTTCTTTATTTTTATAAAAATAAATACGTCTTAATATTTTATTTTTGTTTTTTGGTGACTAAGGATGTCCGGATTAACTTGTGTATACCTCAATTGATCTTGGAGGCCCTAAATTAACAACAGATAAACCCTCTAACTACTATCCTTGTTAGTAGTCGAAGAAAATCAACTCAATTTTTTGAATAATACATTCAAGAGTTCCTATTACTTTAACCGGCCACCTAAGGATTGTTTTTCTTAATATTAATAAAGTAAGTTGAAAGGATAG